AGCTTGGCACCATCAGCTTTCTTCACCGCATTTGCTTATGTACCCGCTTTGTCTTCAGCATTCGTGTCGGGGTAGGCTGGTGTGCTTCTTCCCTGTGGGTTTTGTCCAATACCACTTTCTAGTGGAGGTGACATGTAACAAACCATGGTGGTGGGGGGGTGTAAAATAATTTCTGATATCCTGTTTCCCCGAAAGTAAGAACCTCCCAAAAAATAAGGACCCCCCCTCCCCGACTACCGTAGCTCTGGACTCTGGACCGTAGCAGCGGGCACCGCTGTGCAGCTCACTGTTGGCGACAGCGCAGCCAGAGCAGACAGGAAGTGTGAGGTCTCTTTTAATAAAACAATAAACAATAAATATATACTGTATTCTTCTTCATGGAAAAATAAGACATCCCCTGAAAATAAGACCTAGTGCATGTTTGGGAGCAAAAATTAATATAAGACACTGTCTTATTTTCGGGGAAACAGGGTAGTGGTGAGTGCTAGGACCAGAGGCAGGTGACAGAGTAACAGGGAGGCAGTTTTGAAGAAGGAGGGTCAAGACAGACCTCTGGGCGGAGGTGACACTTATGCAAACATGTGAACCCTGTACCAAAGTCCTGAAGAGGACAATTGTAGAGACAGAAAGAATGTCCCACTGGGGCTCAGGTAAAGTGAGTGAAAATGGCATCAGACCAAGGGCAGGGGCCAGGCCACACAAGGTTATTTCAAGGACGTTGGTAGTCTCCCAGGGATCCTGGGTGGCATAAACAGTTATGAGCGCTGGTGGGGTACTGGGTCACACATCGGGCAGCTAAGTGCACGGTCAGCAGTTCCAATCACCAGCTGCCCCATGAGAGAAAGATAAGTGACAGTCTCGGAAACCCACAGGGGCAGTTCTACCCTGTCCTACAGGGTCGCTATGAGCTGGCATTGACTCAATGGCAGTGAGTTGGATTGAGAGAACGTTGGTGGTTTGTGGGAAACAGAACCGGGAAGAGCGAGTATCCCGACAGACTCTATACGTTCATACGGTAAGGAGTCTGGGCGGCCAGGGGATCCCATGGAGGGAGACCTTCACGTTTGTAGGTTGGAGATGCATTCCAGTCACATTCTCTGATGCATTCCAGTCACATAATAATGCCAATGTTAAGGTGCTATTTGCAAGCACATTGGTACTACTATATACTCTTGAAGGTCAGGAGACTGGAAGTCTGAGTTCAGAGCTCCAGCGCTAGAAGACGGCTTTCTCCCTGTCTCAGCTCTGGAGGAAGGCCCTGGTCGCTTTGGCTCTTACTTCCTGGTTCCTTATGGAGCTCCGTGTGTCTGGCACCAGTCTTTCCTTGGGTCTGGGAGGCTGTCAGCACAGGGGCTGTGGGGCCAAAGGAAACATTCCGCTTCCGGGACCTCTTTCTTGGTAGTAGAAAGCTGCCTCCTCACTCTGCTTGCTTGTTGTCCCTTTTCTAAGAGAGATTCAAGCAAGCAAAGGTGTGGCTTCAATGAGGGCGGGACTTCAGCCATGCCCTCTTGTAAAGTTGTGGGTCAAGATACAACTCACTCTGAACCAGTCTCATTAATATATACAAACTAAACGAATAACAGAAATAACAATAATATAATAATAAGGGCTCCTGGGTGGTAAGGTAGGGGAGGGAGGGGGTAAAGGGAAGCTGATATCAAAGAGTTCAAGAAGAAAGAAAATGTTTTGAAAATGATGGTGGCAGCAATTATACAATTATTCTTGATCTAATTGAATTCTGGATTGCTATAAAATCTGTAAGAGCATTCTGGGTGTACTTCTTCTGAGACAGACTTGTTGGTCTGTCTTTTGGCAGTCCATGGTTTGTTCTTTCTTTCTTATTATTTTATTTTTTTGGACTTTCAATATTCTCCAGCACCACAATTCAAATGCATCCATTCTTCTTTGGTCTTCCTCTTTGGGTGGTCAACTTTCACATGCATAAGAGGCCGTTGAATATACCATGGCTTGGGCCTGGTGCATCTTCGTCCTCAAAGTAACCTTCTTGGCTCTCATCATTGATGCATAGAAGTTAGGTTTTACAGCACATCTCCCAGTGGAGGACAGCCACACCCTCCTGGGAACCATGGCCTGACCAAATGGACACATGGTGGTGGTGAGGGGGGGGGGGCAGGGGCTCAATTCAATCCATAGCAGGGGCCTATGGAGTTTTCACAAAGGGAGTGACAAGCTTGGGTGACACGTTCAAAAGATCAAGGGTTGGTGCTGACTTAACCCTTTACCTACTCAACTGCCCTCCCCCCATGCACCTGGGCCACCCCTGCCCCCAGTGCACACCACACACGAGGTGCTCTAGAAACAGGGGTGTCACTCAGTGGCTGCAAACCTGTTGTTCAGAGACCAACCTCTGCCCACTGGCTGAGTCCAAGGGCGGGTCAAACCTCCAGGGGGCCCCTTGGTTTGGTTCGGACATAGACATTCTAGGACAGAGTCTTTTTGGTTTTTTTGTGTGGCCTTT